CCTTACCTTGAGCCTGCTTTCCTTAAAGTCTGGGTTTTCAACTGGATTGGTGTGTACATAGTCTAGAATTTAGCTCATTTATTTGGAGGTTCAATAAATACCTAACAAAATTCCTTGATTTCAATGTGTTTCAATAGCGCTGCATGAAACAGGAGAATGTGACTGCACTTTACCTCTGACCAGCAGTTATGAAAGGGATCGTATGTTTCTACGCTGTTGATTCTCTGTGCGCCATCAAAACCTCCAACCACATACACTTTGCCACCCAGCACAGCCATTTTGTGTCTCCATCGCCCGATGTTTAAATATTCAATTTGGATCCATTTGTTGATGGAGGAATTGTATTTCCAGACATCATGTTGTGTTTCTTTCCCACCTGCAGGATACACAATGCATGTTACTGACATAATTGGCACGACCTGTATTCATGCAGAACCTCTCGTATGTTCTGGTTTTCACAGAGATTTGTCCTACAAGAAAGAAAATGGGTCATGACATTTGCTCTGGAACCACATCTCCAGTAGTGGTCAGTGCTTGCTTTAGAGAAAGACAACTTGCATGCTTCAAGCTCGTCTAGCTATATTTGCATTGCTATACTTGAGAAAGAGATGGGAAAACCCCCAAAAGGTTGTTTTACAAGCCATTCACCAGATGTGAATCCCTATTCGTGCTTTAGCTGTCAGCTGTCAGCTGCTACCACCTTTTCTCCTGTGTTTGCTAGGTTTTTTCTTGACACGAGTGACCACCTTTCTAGATACATTCAAGTGCAAATATCTCTGTGTGCGCTTCCAAAATCCTAATACCTATCAATAATTAAGGACCAGCACATACAAATATACCGTCAGCCTCGTGCTCAAATCTCAGGAATGAGACCCATTGCTAATTGCAGATTTCTAGCCATCAAGTTTAAAGCCAGAAGGGACCTTCCAATCACCGAGTCTGACCTGTATATGGAAGACACCTGTACACTAAATCCAGCCACACAAGTGAGATCCACAGGAGACTAAACTGTAATGTTCCACAGGCAAAGAACAGGAAGAACCAATATATACCAGTGCCGAGCCCCTCTGTGGCAAGTGAGTGAGCTATCCAGGCAATGCAGCAGGTGGCCCAAACCCACATGCTCCGGGGGAAGGCAAAACAAATCACAAAGTCACCGCCAATCTGACCTGGAGGAACGTCCCTTCCTTACCCCAGAGATGATGATCAGTTAGGCCCTGAGCATGTGAACAACAGCCAGCCACCCAAGCACCTGAGGGAGAGAATGGCGTGTACCAGCTCAAAACTGTGGACCTCCATGTCCTATGTCCTGTCTCCAGCCATGGCCATCGCTGGTGCTTCAGAGGAAGGAAATGCTAGAGGGAGAAGGAGAACCCTTCCTGATCCCTTTCATGTGGCCAGCAGAGACCCTGAAGCATGAGCTTTGGAAACATAAGACATAAACTGGAAGTGAGCCCCCAGGGTTGCTGACAGCAGCCCTCCCACCCCATCTCTAGCCACTCCATCATACAATTGCCTTCATAAATGTGTCCAGCTCTCTCTCAAAACTAATTCTATTGTTTACCCCTACAGCTCCCACTAGCGGCTGTTCTGGAACTTCACCCCGCTGATGGTTAGAAAACTTCCAGTTTCTACCCCGAATGTGTTGATGGCCAGTTTGTATCTATTTGCTCTTGTACCAACATTTTCCTTTGGCTGAAGAAACTGTTCACCTTCTCTGGTATTTATCCCCGTCCTACTCTATTTACAGAAAACACGCATATCTGCTCTCCACCTCCTTCTGCATCACCCAGCCCTCAGCCACTTGAGAATTCCCTAGTGCCGGGGAGATCCCGCTGAGGACAGCTTTGCACATCCATCTGGTTGGTCTGCTGATTTCCAAAGTATAAACCCGGGCCCTGATCCTGGCCTCCTAGCCCCCGAAAGTCTCCCACTGAAATCTGCCAGGGGGGGTTGCCAGAGCGAAAAATTCAGCATTGGGTCCATAGCTTCTTGAAAGTGAAGAAGTTGGACTGTGACCTCACTTCTGTCCACCTGACTCTGTGTACAGCTACATTGTTGGGAAGGGGAGGGTGGCTGGGTGGGGGGCACAGCACTGAACCTCAGAGAGCCTTGGAGTTCACTTTAGGACTAAAAATAGTAGTATGACATTCCTCCTCAGGTCAGAGCCCAGACTCTGAAACCTGGCGAGGGTCAGTGTCTCTGAGCCCAGGCGCTAGCCCAGCCCCAAACATATCCACGGCTATTTTAAGCCCCATAACATGAGCCCCACGTGCTTGAGAGTTGAGCTGGGTTCTGAGACTCACCAGCATGCTCTTTTTTGCAATACTAGATATGGATTGCTTGTGGTGAAATGGTTCCTTATTTACACCAGATCAGAATCAATCCCAATAGGGAAATCCCTACAGTAGGGGTACGTCTAGACTACAGGCTTTTGTCAACAGAAGTTTTGTCAACAGATAGGGTGTGTCTAGACTACAGAGTTTTGTCGACAAAAGTGGACTTTTGTCAACAAAACTATACCTGCGTCTACACTACACTATACCTGCGACTACTACATAACGTCGACAGAACTCAGCAGTTTTGTCGACGCTGGTAAACCTCATTTTACGAGGCATAACGCCTTCTGTCAACAGAGTTCTGTCGACAGCAGGTGTTATTGCATGTAGGGTTGTGTCTAGACTACAGGGTTTTGTCGACAAAGCAGCTTGCTTTGTCAACAGAACTGAATGTAGTCTAGACGCTCTTTGTCGACAGAAGCTTTGTCGACAGTATCTGTCGACAAAACTTCTGTCAACAAAACCCTGTAATCTAGACACACCCTAGTTGTGCAAAGGAGTCTCACTCATTCAAAAAAGTCTTGCAGGGTTTTTGCTAGTACTTCAGTGTCTGTGTAATTATAATTCATTACCGGAACACGCACAGAATGAGTCATGTGTGAACCCCATTGCGCAGTGTGAGAAGCTCACTACAGTCCAGCTATGCAAACGCGTCACCAATGACTATACTGAAAGCAGGAGTCGTATTCCATTACCGAATTGTCTGCCCTCGTTTGTATGCTGTACGGCAGGCAGATCACTGCAGCCTGAAGGAGCTCATCTCTGGGCCAAATCACAGACTGAATAGGAGATCATTAGCATGCTAGGAAGAGTCATGAATAATGCTCTTGTGGCAATGAGGTTTGCACATGCATGTGTGTTTTATTTGCACTCAGATGGGTGAAGGGGAGGAATGCGGAATGCCAGCATTGTTATCTACAGTAGAGTTTAGAGACGGCAGGCGGCCCAGCCACACCGTCCCGCAGCCTTCTCATTTATATTACAGTTTGCTCTCTCCTGAATTAGAAAACTGCCCTGATGACGTGTTATTGAAGTCTGGCTACAGCCTGGGGGGGGGAGGGGCAAGATTTTTGAGAGAACTGGAGACATTCAAACTCCTTGCTCTCAGCTTTTTGATACCGCTTTTTCTGAAGAGAGTGTAACTGCAGTCATCAGAGGCCTGCGACCTCCAGCAGTACCTGAAGGAAAGGCAAAATACAGGACTATGAAGGAAAGGGTATGGCAGGCAGGGGGAGGCAAAGATACTGGAGGAATAGATAGCGAAGTAGAAATGAACCAAGTCATTGAAGCCAAAGAAGAAAGAAAATCAAGAAGGAGAGTGTGATAAACAGTATCAGAGGCAGCAGGCTGAGCAGGAGGGACAAGCAAGGATAAGCACCCCTCTGCTTTAGCTAGAAGGGAACAATTAATGAGCTGGGCCAGGGCAGCTTTGTTGGAGTGGAAATGGGGAAAAGCAGATTGAAGGAGACCAAGGAGGTGAAGAAGTCAAGGAACGGAGTTGATGAAGGGGAGGAAGGGTACTAATTAGTGTCACTGAGCAAAGTAAGTGATTCTTTCATGGCAAGGCATGTATGGGCATGTCTAGAGGCAGAGCAGCAAAGGAGACAGAGAGAACAGGAGAAGAAGCCAGAGAAGAGGGGAGGAAAAAGGCCTGAGGCTAAGGAGACAGACTGAGTGATAAGAGACAGACAGTAAGCAGCTCTGTGAGTGAAACAGGTGCCAAGGAGTCGGGGAACGTGTTTGTTGAACATGCTGGTTGAAATGCTGCCTTTGATTCCCCCACATAGGACTACTGAAGAAAGGGAGAAAGAGAGAGCAGAATGTAACAGTGGGATGAAAAGAGAACTTCTTTTCCTTAAACTCATGGGCTACATCTACACTGGCATGATTTTCCGAAAATGCTTTTAACGGAAAACTCTTCCGTTAAAAGCATTTTCGGAAAAGCACGTCTAGATTGGCAGGATGCTTTTCCACAAAAGCACTTTTTGCAGAAAAGCATCCGTGGCCAATCTAGACGCAGTTTTCCGCAAAAAAGCCCCGATCGCCATTTTCGCAGAAAAACTTGCCAGTCTAGACCCAGCCATGGGGAGGGAAGAGGGATGAAAGCTGGCCCTAGTACAAGGAGATTTAATAAAGACTAAGTTGGAGTGAGTTTGTTAAATCCATGTAGTCTTAAAGGCAGACAGTCCTGGGAGATATTTTAGACCCTCATCTGACTGGCAGAATGTTCCCATTTGACTCCCCTGCCCGCCTCTTCCTGCCGTTCTGTTACTCATCTTTGAAGGAAAAGTCCCGCTTGGGCAAGGTGCCTCATGAAGAACTCTGCAGAGTGAAAGGTCCAGCTCCCAGCACCAGGCCAGGATTGGCATTGGCTGGGCAAGCTTCCCCACACAGCCCCACCCTTCGTGCCACGTTGGGGAAACCTGTGGCCTCCGCTTACTGTCACCTTTGGTCTGACAAGCAGGGTGCTCAATGTGGCCGTTGTGAAGATGGCTTTGAGTCATTGAGCCCCTTTCTCTTAGAAAGCAGAATGAGATCACCAAACTAATTCCACAGAGGCCATCAAACCGGCTCTCACATGGCAATGAGTCACGGCCCAGCTGACCTGCCTTTGAACTGGTGAGCTGGAAATAAAAAGCTGTGTGTTCCATTGCCAGTCCCCTAAGGCAGTGGTGGGCAATCTAGGCTAGTGAGTGGGCCACACAAGTGGCCCTCCTTCATCTCAGCGCGCTGCTAGATTGTTGTAACCAAGACAGTCTCCTGAGAGAGGGTCGTTTTTCTAACTGCGCTTGCGCACCTAAAATATGGAGGCTGTGCCGATTGATCCAAAGCGGCGCTTTGATAAGACGCAGGGGGAGCGCACGGCTCTTATAGTCAATGTCATGTGCTATCCGCACACACCTCATTTCGCATGCCCTGGCTCTGAGTGTGTATCATTTCAATAATACCTGTAGGGGAAAAACGATGTGGATGGAAACCAGCAAAATCTGACGACCTTATGGGCAGTGGTAAACAGAATGTCTAGTGGGCCACACACAACTCTCATGGTTTGTCCACCATTGCCCTAAGCAATCCTTAGTCTTCCTTCACATGAGTTTGTATGGAACAGGTGTTTATGGAAGTTGAATGTCTCTGCTGAATCCCTGCATACTGTGATTCTAGGGTGGCCAGTTGTCCTGATTTTATTGGGACAGTCCTGATATTTTGGGCTTTGTCTTCCACAGGTGCCTCTTACCTTACACCCCCCTGCCCTGATTTTTCAAGCTTGCTGTCTGGTCACCCTATGTGATCCACAATCAAATATGCACACGGCTGCCTTGTACAAGGCCTCTTGGCCCTCACAGTGGTGATGGCAATTAACTGTGCTGTCTGTAATTGATTGTTTTTAGAGTCCTCTGGCTGCACTATTGATGTGCTTCTGAAAATAGGATTTTCAGTCACAAGCAAAACAACCATGCTTAGTGTTTGCAAATTATTGACTGTTGCTTATTCATGCAGAACTCCTAGCAGATCTTCCAGAAGAGCTTTGCAGTAGCTACTGTTGACTGTATGCTGCATAAGCAGCTGTAAGAGGCCTTTCTGGGACTACTGTTCCTAACACTTTGGTGTGACAGCACTACATTCACACACGGTGCATTTGTTTCAAAACTGAACCACTCAACCCCGTGCATCTCAGGAGCCTGTCTTTCAGCCCTGATGGTGTGTGTGAGGAGCCCCTTTCAAAGGCAAGGGCTGAAATGCTCTATCGTTAGCTGTGTTGGTCAATTTACACAGCACAGCATATAGTCTACATCATCAACCGAGGGTACATGTAGCCCCAGAGGCACGCAGAGGACTTTCAGTGGATACATTAACTCATCTAGATAGTAGCCTAGTTTTATAACAGGCTACATAAAAAGCATTGGCGAAGTCAGCACAAACTAAAATTTCATACCAATATTGTTTATCCTGCTCTGTACACTTTACCTGCAATGGAAGTACAACATTTATATCCCAGTTGATTTATTTTATAATCTTTCTATAGATTAAAAAAAACGTTTCCTGCAGGACTACAGAGTGACATCATTATACTACTCTGCATCCCACAGCCCCTCCCCCTCAGCCACCCAGACTCCTCCCTCCCTACTCCCTGCTGCTAACTCGATTGGCTCAGAACACGGCCTGTGTCACCCCGACCCTTCTCCACCGGCTGAGCGAATGCGGCCTGCGCCAGCTTCTTCAACAGTCTGATGGGGGGGCCGAGAGGCCCAGGCTAGATGTGGGGGTGGGGAGAGGGCGAGAGGCTAAGGCTGGCTGTGGGAGAGGGGGCACCCTGAGGCCCAGGCTGGCTGTGCGGGTGGGAGCAAGAAACCTAGGCTCCCCTCCCCAGCGGCTGTGCGAGCACAATGAGTAGGGGGCACAGCCTCCTAGTTATATGATAAAAATGGCAAAGTCGGCAGATTTTCAATAACAGTGTGTCTGTGACACTTTTGGTATTTTTAGGTTTGATTTTGTAAGCAAGTAGCTTTAGAGTGAAGTGAAACTTGGGGGTATGCAAGAGAAATCAGACTCCTGACAGAGGTAACGTAGTCTGCAAAGATTCAGAGCCACTGTTCCGCATAAAAGCTGTAGCCATTTCCCTTCCCTTGTTAGTGAGACTCTTCTCTTCTTTTAGTTCCATGAGCATCTCCTTGCTCCTTACCTGATATGTAGACTTCATTTTTTAATGTAATACATGCAAATTCCACCCATTTTTTATTCTCGCTCTCTGTTTCCTGTTCTGTGATTGGTAATTTTGCCACCTCCAAACGACTCCGTCTCAAAGGATCCAGGCACGTCACTTCTGCGACAAATTTTTCATCTTTTGTGCAACCACCAATGATCATAAACACCTCAGACTGGAACTCGTGCATCCGGGGCTTTGTTCTTTCTGAAATAATCTAGACACAAGCAATACAGAATGAACACACGGGATGTGTCGCAGGGCAGGGGGACGTTAAAAAACAGCATTGTACCCTGTGGGGTGAGTCGCTCACTAATTTACCTCCCGTTGGTTCCATTCATTGGCCAAGTTTTCCCCAATGGTACATTGAAGAGTCTCCTCTCACCTGCTATTAGCCAGCCCCACGAGCACATCTGTCTGCCTAGAGGTGCCAGCTCTGCCGGTGCTCTAGGGCTGGTGCACCCAATGGAAAAATAGTGACCTCAGCACCCACAGCTGCTGGCGGAATATGGGGAGAGGGGCAGAGAGGATGCCAGAGGTGGGCCTCAGGTGAGGGACTAGAGCAGGGATAGGAAAGGATGGGGCCTTGGAGGAAGTGGCAGAGTACGGGTGGCACAGCCTCCTGGGAACATGAAAGTCCACACTCATGTGTCCATCTGAGGTATTTCTACGGCCCCTGTCCCTGCAGTCTCTGAGCACCTCGCAGGCTTTAATGTCTGTAATCTCTCAGCACCGCAATGAGACAGGGGTTCACTCTTATCCCTCTTTTACACATAGGGAACTGAGGCACAGAGAGCGACAGCGACTTGCCTTAGTCCACACAAGAAACACCTTGCTGTGCAAGAACTAGAAGCCAGTACTTCCAAATGCTAGGTTAATGCTCTAACCACTGGACTATCCAGCCTCTCTGCAAACACTGCCCGAATCTAAATGCCAGGTTCCAGGTGCAGACTGAGGGTGGTTCTAGCAAACGGGTTTTGTGTCAGTGATAAAAGTGTCTGTCAAAGCGCTGTGCTGCTCCTAGGAGAATAGACACAAGCGGAATTGTCACAATTCTCTGTTCAGAGGTGTTAATGATAAGCTGTGTCTCAACGCAGTGCAGGTGGCACGACATCCTTTGCTCCCTGTAGATACACCATTAGTCACATTGGAATGAACACAGTGGAAAATTCAAGGAAAGCTTTTTATAGTGTACAGGAATTTATCATTTATCTGAAATGTTTGAACATAAGAACGGCTGTACTGGGTCAGACCAAAGGTCCATCTAGCCCAGTATCCTGTCTGCCGACAGTGGCCAGCACCAGGTGCCCCAGAGAGGGTGGACCGAAGACAATGATCAAGCGATTTGTCTCCTGCCATCTCTCTCCAGCCTCTGACAAACAGAGGCCAAGGACACCATTTTATCCCCTGGCTAATAGCCTTTTATGGACCTAACCTCCATGAAATTATCTAGCTTCTCTTTAAACTCTATTATAGTCCCAGCCTTCACAGCCTCCTCTGGCAAGGAGTTCCACAGATTGACTACACGCTGTGTGAAGAAGAACTTTCTTTTATTAGTTTAAAACCTGCTACCCATTAAAGAGCACTAGCTCTTTTCTTTGGACTTTTATAACTAGTTTAAAGCGTGTTTCTATAAACTGGTATAAATGATCTCATTACCCTATGCAGATGCAAAATTCCTTTCTCTGTTTGCTCAGTAAAACTTACTAAACTGCCAGCGAGTCTTAGCATCCTTGTCAGAACTGTGCAGATTCCTCCTACACCCCCTCGGCCAGCCTCACAGCCCTTCGACTCTCCGCCGCCAGCAATGAACAGGGCTGCGGAGAGTGCACATTCTGCCCCTTCCGCATCCCGGAAAACAAGCGTGGTGCTCTCTTTGCACGGCTCACGGCTGGCTCAGGGAGCCAAGCACTGGGACTGAAGACTGAGCCCTGCTGTCTAGTAAGGTAGTACAGAGCCCTGTGCCTGCCACGGGGTCACCTGCGGGCTGGTCTGAATTGCTAATCCTATGTGGAGGCAGGGCCTGCCTGTGTTTCGTGATGCCCTTTGCAGTTCCTATCCAGGGAGCTCCTTCCCCTCTGACAACAGGGTCCTACCAATATCTATGCACCCATGACATACCTCTGATTGCCTGCTGCCTGCTCATGACACTCCTCAGCCTGTGAGAAAGCACAAGTCTCTCTCTCTCTCTCTCTCTCTCTCTCAGCTGTGAAGTTTTGACACCTTATGATCACTTTCTGTGGGACTGAAATGTAACTTTCCAAGTAAGGGAGAGGCTCAGTTTGGGAATTCCATTTCCACCTCTGGCTGCTACATCTGGGGGAGATGGGACAGGGCTGGGACAGGGTTGAGACTGCAGATTGCAGGTTAAGTCTGGATGCGTCACAGGTCCTGTGCTAATCAGCTGTCCAGACTTCTGCTTAGCATCCTGTCTCTGAGATCAAAGTGTGTTTTTTTCACGGCAGGTTCTTTCTTTCCTAAACGATTCCCACAGTAACCTAGTAAGGTAGACACTGAGCCTTCTCCCACCCACTCTGAAATTCTTGAGTGCCTCTGCCTGTGCATGGAAGCAGGATCATTTCAGGGCAACTTTAAACAGTGGCCCTGCACTTGACCCTCAGTGTCCCATGAAGACAGCTAGTGCTGCTTGAGCAGGTGAGTGGCACATGCTTGGTCTGCAGAAGAGTGCATAGGACACAGAAGTGCAGCAGCGGGGTTTCAAAACGTTTCCAGACTCATCCCTTGATTTGTACAGCCCCCTTCACCCAAGCACATGGGCAGAGTGCAGCAGGCTACCAAGGGGAATCGCTTCTCCCAGTACTGAGCACAGCCTCTTTGGGAGGAGCACACAAGTCCGCCTCCACCCTGCAATTGTGTTGGAGGCGGGGTTGTGAAGAATAACGTCCTCAGCTGGAACTACAGGAAGGAGCACACAAGTCCGCCTCCACCCTGCAATTCTGTTGGAGGCTGGGTTGTGAAGAATAACCTCCTCAGCTGGAACTACAGGTGCATTTCATATCAGGTGAGGTTCAGTCTGGATGGAAGATATGAGCAAAGGCATGGGCCAACACTCCTTCCCAAGAACACAGGGGAAGCTTCTGGACTCTTTAACGAACTGAGCGCCTATGTATTTCCATTAGATCTCTTCCTGCTCACTTACATTTTAATATCTCTCACATTCAAGGCCAGAGCAGGTCATTAGTACAATCCAGTCTGATCTGCTGCACACAAGAGAATTTCTCCCAGGAATTCCTGCATCAAACCCATAACAATCTGATTGATGATTGAACCTCAAAGATC